AAACAGAAATATTGCTACAATTGAATGATTGATGATTGATAGATAGATAGATAGATAGATAGATAGATAGATAGATAGATGATAGAAAATATCACCCCAAAGTCCAAAAACAGAAACAATATTGGCTCATCAATTTCACTATATACACCAGTGCATGGGAAGTAATAAAATGAGCTTGAACACTTAGCATGGAAAAGCAACTATGATTTGACATGAATAACATGGATAGCAAGTTCACACACAAAAAATCCCAATGAGGAACCTAAAAAGGAAGACATCAGAAGCCAGCTCTATAACACTTAGTAAAGATTTTAAAACAAAAAGGACACATATTGGGGGGGGGGGGGGAGAGAGAAAGAGTAATATAGAGGTAATCTAATAAAGATTACCTTCAGAAGACCTAGAGATGGTCTTGGACAGATAGCCATTCAAAATGAACTGAAATTAACACAGAATAATAAGAATAAAAGAAAGAACTCTTTCAGTTAGGTTCAAAATTTAAACAAGAGAAAAGAATCATTATACAATGCATTATCTTTGAGAAGTCCCAGCAAACAGGTGTGCCACATAACTGAAAAATGTCAAATGTTGTTCATATCTTCAAAAGAGAGGATCAAAGAACAACAAGCACTCCTAAGCTTTGGTACTTCGGGGGGGGGGGGGAATATGGTCTAATGCTGTATTTAGTTACCAACGTCATTTTTGTAGATCTCAAAATGGTGGCACCAAAAATGTCAACTTGTTTTTTTTTTAATGTTATGGGGAAAGCGAGCATGCTGAATGAGAGCTGGCCACAGCCACGCACAGCCACGCTATGAGGTAATGCTCACTTTTCTACTTCAAATTTGCTAATTGTTGAGCTTCCAACAGTTTCTTCCTTCACAAAAAAGAGGAATAAATAAGATGCCCTTCTGGAGGAGGTGGCCTATACACTATTCTAAACCAGTGATGTAAATAAATAAATACACACACAAGTGTATGTTGTTGGAAACATGTATATGTGTCTATTGTTCTTTGTTATTTTGCAAAACATTCCTTTGGAGGGGGTAGCTAGAAAATATTGATTTCTGAAAGAGCTAACCGGTGCAAGAGAAGCCTAAAATGTGTCCCTCTATCCACGATACCAGTTCAATCTTGCAGGTAAATATTATCCCGCCTCACCTGGGAAATTCATTAAAACATTGCAAGGATGTCAAACTGCTATGCTAACAAATTGGCATTGAGCTGGCCTGGTGAAGCATGAGCTGAAAGGTGGTTGACAGGGGAGGCAGTCTCTGGTGATAAGAGAGACTTACAGACTTAAGATTAACTTGCTGGAAAGAAAGCTTTATCCATATGAAATCCATGAACAATGCTGGATTTCTGAGGATTGTGAAGAAGAAGCTTGTAATACATTGGCACTGACTTACAGATAGTGCCATATGATAGGCAGTGATGCAGTGAGGACATTGTGTGATAGGATTCATGGAGTTAAAAAAGCAAGCCAGACTAACAAAATTCACACAGCTATTAAAAAAAAAAAAAAAAGCTTAGAATGGCACCGTTCCACTGATACCTGTCTGCAAATGACATATCCAGCTGTGAATATTATGTCACAACTAAAGAGATGCATGTGATTTACTTTTCACAAATGCTTTGCCCAAGGTTATGGAAACTGCACATAAGTAGGGGAAATTGTCTGAAGAAGACGACATTGGAAAATAGAAAAAAGCTGCAGGAGAAACCAAAAGAATAAGAAAGCAGCTTATTAAACAAAACATTTGCACTGCGTTAGAGTAACTCCATATGCTACATGAAGTATGACAAAGCTCTGAGAGCATCAATGTGATCAAAGGCAAACAGGCTCAAGAAAATCCCAAGAAATAAAGATAAATGAGACAGAGGCAGAACTGAAGAAAAACAGAAGGGAAAAAGAAAAAAAGAAGAAAAAAAAAACAGAAAAAGGAATGAGTGGAAATCACTCTCACTATTTTATGTATACCACTTATTTTGAAACATAGTCCACACATATACCTACCACCCCACAAACACACATATACTGACTTCTTTGCATGCATCATTCCACATAATTTCCTCTCTATTTTAACACATGTAAACAACTTTTATATCTTTTATTATGTGAACGTAGCCTGCAGAATAAACTGCATAAGCACGTTTTAACCTTTGATATGTCATTGCATTTAGAATTTGCTCAGAAAATCAATCTTACACTAATTTTATTTTTAGTTTGATTTTTTTCTGAATTGCCTTATATATTATCAAAAAGATTACTCAGAGAGAACATAATGAAAGGCAAATCTTAAGTTCAGTACACAGGTCCACGCCCATATACTGTACATATATACACTAATAGGAAGGGGAAACAAGAAACATATTTTTAAAACTTCTTTTCTGTTGTTGTTCAATATTCCAGAATATTATTTTTTTTCCTCCAAATTATTATTTGTACTTTCAACTTGTCTGGGCTAACCTAGGCTGGGTAGATAGGAGACCGCCAACAAAAATTAGGGTTATAGACTTGATTAGAAAATTGAAAACAACAGGAGGAGGAGGAATGGATAATCACAAACTACTTCAGTATTTCTGCCTGCAAAACTACATGGAAATTCCATGAAAAAGTCACCATGCGTTGGACTTGACTAGAAGGAGATATCAGAGTGTCCTCAGTGTCTGTCACTGTCTTGATAAGGATTGGATGATCAATGTTGCACGTATTGTGTGGATGTAAACAGTGGAAGGTTTCAATCTTGCCCACATTTCAAATCCAATGATTGTCATTGCAGATGTTCTTGGAATATATGACTTTACAGTGGTACCTCGGGTCACGAACGCTTCTGTTCACGGCCAATTCGGGTCACGAACAGCACCGTTTGCAAAATTTTGCTTCCGTTCGCGAGCTCCGCATCAGGTGATGAACAGGATCCGTGGCCATTTTCCCTGCTGACACACGTGGTCGTGGCTTCT